ACTGTGGTCACGGGGGTGGGGAAGGTACGGTCTTGGGGGATCGACACAGCAGCTGAGGAGAAACGAGGCCACTAAGCTCACGGCTACCCCCAATTCTGGACGACTGGCAGCCCCACCTGCTCGCCCTCAGGCCCGGTGGCACTAACGAATGCCAGGGCAGCCCCGAGGCGACGGCCTTTGCCAGGCAAAAGTCACAGGGGCTCAGCTCCACTTCTGCTTTTCCTCAAGAGCTAGCGGCCACTCTGAATCAGGGCCTGGGCTTGGCAACGGGCTAGAGGGAGGCCAGCGAGCTGAAGGGTTCAAAGCAGACCAGCCAGGGATGCTGTGGGTGGGTGATGGGACAAGGTTCGTTCTTTGGGGTGCTCCTGGGAGCCACGGGTGGACTCCGTGGCACCAAGCACCTTTCACCGGCTCAGGCTGATAGCTGATCTACCGCCTTCCCTGGAGGGCCAAGAGCCAAGCTGCAGTCATCCACGCTTCCATAACCTCCTGTCGTGGGGACGCCTTTGAGAACGAGCAAGAGGCTTCACTTGATTTAGAACAAGGCAGCAAAACCCTTGAACAGGGACTGGCTGGCACTTGCCGCCAGCTGGTGTGCTTGACATTTAAAACCCTAATGGATTAGACCCAGACAATCTGAAGGATCACCTGCTCCCACATGTACCTACCCAGGCTGTAAGGCCAGCTACCGGGGTCCTTCTCCGGAAGCCCCTCAAAAAGAAGTAAAAGGAGAGGCTACCAGCAGAGCCTTTTCTGTTGCGGCACCCTCTCTTTGGAACAACCTCCCCAAAGCTATCTTTGCCGCCTACTCTGTATTTTTCAGCACCAGGTAAAATTGTAATTTTCCTAGTAATTTAACAGTTGAAATTCATATATTCATTTTAATGTTGCATTTTATCTGGTATTTCCACTCTGCCTCTGCATCCATTTGATTGTAATTGCCATGGGGCCTATTGCTAGTTTTATTGGTTTGATTTTTCTAGTATTTTATTGTTAACATGTTGCTCTTGGTTGTTGTTGTTTTTTTTATAAAAAAGGTTTTAATTTTTAAAGTCTAACTGCCCAGAGAACCTTTGGCTATTGGGTGATATAAAAATGAAATATGTATAAAATTCCAAGAACACTGGTTTGATTTTGCACTCTCTGGAGAATGAATAAAGCATTAGCTAAGGCCAGCTTTCAATTTACAAAGAGTATTTGAAGGCAACATGCTGCATTATACCACCATTAGTAACCCTGCCCTGGATTCTTACAGCATAGAATTATCTATTACTGACAGAACATAACCTGAAATATCCCTCAACCAGCCTTTACTTATTTTAACCAATTAAAGAGGAAAATTAAAGTGTCAGCAAAGAAAGAAAACCCAAAATTCAGGCATCAAGCAGGGATTTGGGGGTGACGTGGGAAGAAATTCACCCATCTGTTGGAACACTTGCAGGTTTCATTTTCAAGCATTTCTAAGGACACTATTTAGACCTGATGGCTATGAGAATACCTGTCCGGCATGCATAGAATACGGACTCTGAGAATAGATCTATCATCCACAAACTGAATGTTGTTATTTTAGGAGTGTGTGCCACCTAGGAATGCTGTTGGTGGAACAAGCAGCATATAAGTATTTTAAATAAACTCCAGATGGCCATGCCCTGGGGCAGCGGGGCTCCCCAGAGGATGCCAACCATCTTGCCCCCCACAACTGTTTTAATTTATTTAAAGTATTTCTACCCCGTTCTACATGAAACTTGTCTTAGGACAGCTTACAGTATTTATCTATTTATTTATTCATAACATTTGTATAGCATTTGTTTGTTTATTTATTTATTTAAAGTATTTATATGCCGTCCTGTCGCGAAAGCCTCAGGACGGCTCACATAGATAAAATACAATAAAATATAAATAAAATTATCGACCCACACTGGCTGCAATAAAAACATATAGATCATGATAGTAAAACGTATTAAAATATTGCTAAAATAAAAAGGTCTTAACCTGGTGCCGAAAAACATACAACGACGGCGCCAGGCGGACCTCTCTGGGGAGCGCATTCCAATTACTTGTGTCTCTGGGTGGCTTACAACATAAATTGACAATCCACTCTGGCTGCGAATTAATAAAATACAACAATAAAATTCAGTATTAAAACATTAAAATATTGATTAAATAAAAAGGTATTACAATAATAAACAGAATAAACAACATACATAATAAACCAAAACAAAATGCGACTGAGTATTAAAATCAGTTAAAAGCCCTTAAGCCTTAAAGTAACAGGTAAATAAACAGCAGCTGTTGATGCTGTGAGGTGGCAGCTGGTGGGATTGAGAAACGCATGGGGTGGCACCCATGGCCCATGTGCCCCGGGCAGCCCACTTCCAGGGACCGTGGCCAGAACGCCTACTTAGGATTAGGACAAGGGACTGCTTTTAAAATGTATTAATTAAAAGCTTTTATATGCCATCCTTTATATAAACATCTCAGGATGGCTTACAGGACTTTAAAAGAACACTATCAAGCAACTTCCAATAAACGAATTAAAACAGAAATCATGTATAAAACGAACAGCAATTAACACAAAATAAATCAAACAAAACAAAAGCCACTGTACATTAAAAGCTATTTTAAAATGCTGTTTAAATAAAAGGTTTTGACCTGGCGCCAAAGAATGTAAGCTGGGTCCCAGGCATACCTCTGGGAAGTACATTCCAGAGTCTGGGGGCCACCAGAGAAGGCCCTACTCCCGGTGGATGAGCTTTTTGCCTCTTTTAGAGAGGGTTCCTGGAACATTTATTTATTGTATGTAAGCTGTCCCAAGGCTCAGGAGAACGGGACGGCATACAAAAATTCTAAATAAATAAATAGCAGCTGCACAGAATGTTTGCATTTTGTTATGTGACTCCTGAGCAGTTGATGCATTTTAACAGCCTTCCAGAGTGCCCATTGTGAATGGGAGGCTTTAGACATATCTGAGAAATAAAGATTTACCATGTGTGGTGTTTTACTTATTATTTCATGAAATGCTACGATTATCACATGGCAGAGAAATATAATTATTAACAGCGAGGAGTTAACTGCCTTAGTTCTGTCTTATGCTTCCAAGCATAATGTTCTTAGGAATGCTTGAAAATGAAACTCACATTCTTGGCTTTAACAATTTCATTTTGTTTTTATATTTGAAATATTTATGTGCCACCTATTCCAAAAACGACATTTCTAGGCAGCTGGGACTACTAGAACACATCCTAAAACTCACTATATAAAAATTCAACAACAGATCTTTTAAAAACCAATTAATCTATAAATTAATGCAAATTTAGAGAATCCAATAAATTTCCAATGGGCCATCGTGTAAAAATAGTAGGTTTTGCACTGTAATTCGTTGGAGGAGAGCAAATAATGGTTTAAAATGTTAACAAACCCAACTTGCTGTTAAAACCTTGTTTTAGGAGAGGCAATTCTGCGGCTTTCCTGGTTTTCCAAAGAGATGCTACCATGAAGATGCTGCTTGTTTAGTTCCCAACCATACTGTGTAGCTCAGAGGTGGAGCCCCAACCTTGTAGGCAGAAATTCTACGGTTCAGCTTGTGCCTCCCACATCTGGAGACTCACAGCTGCCAGTCAGTGTCAACAGTATCAGGCTAGCTAGACCAAATGCCCTGATTCAGTCTGCAATGTTAAAGAGAATAACTTCCCAAGCAATCAAACCTGAAGTGGGAAGAGAGATCAGGCCAAACCACAAATCTTGAACACAACTCGCTGAAATGTAACACTAACTACTTATAAAACATTAGATCTATGGAGTGGGACTCCAAATTCAAAGCAGTGGTTGCCAAACATGGATAAAAAGCTGTTAGGCTATTTTAAAGATGCTTGTGTAGCGGAAACACAATTTCGAAGAGCTTGTGGCATGCCATGGTTCCTGTTGCCACTTTATAGTTGAACCTACTTTGCACACAAAAAAGAGAATTTTGCTTCATGATTAATCAATGCAAAGCTGGCACCAGCTTGACACAAATCTATGGGGAGAACGAAGGGGAAGCTTCATTACTGACAAGCGTTAAATATTCCAATCAGTTGATCTCGGCTATCCGACCTTGTGCGGGCAAACTATCATCTCACCCCACTCTTGGCCATAATAAAGTGCCACATGCAAGCTTGGTGGTTATACCTATGAAGTTGTGGGAATTCAATTTTCTGCTGAACCTCAGGACAGCCCTATGGGGACTGGTCAAAGGAGTCTTCCTGCTACTGTTCATTTCGGGGTTAAGGAGCAGAAGGGGTGTACTAAAGGGGCATCGTAAGCATATTGTTGTGTTCCTGTTACTTTCTTTTCTCCTTAAATAAATCTCTTTGCTTCCAACACTGGTGTGCTTCTTGCTTTCAAATCTAGTAAGATCTCACCTTGCAGCAACACAGTTTGGTAAATGTATACGCCATTTAGACAATGCACCACTTTTAAGCTGCATCCACTGTACAATTTTAAGTCATGTTTCATTAATGTTTCTCAGACTGTTCATTGAGAGTTACTTCCTTTAAGAGATGCAGTTTGTCCTGATCCATTTATTTTGTTTCAAAGTATGGAGTAAGTTCATTGCAAGTTTTGTTTGCTTTTGCACTGGGAAGTGCTTGTGTGGAAGTAACGAGGCCAAGCAAAAGATCGCCTCTGCTAATTTGGTAAGGGAGGAGGAAAGAAGCTTTCAAGGGACCATCTCTGAATGTCTGAATGGTGCACTCCAACCCTTCCACTTGCAAAGGTGAGTTCAATGCTGCAGTTTCCCAGCTTGGGGGGGGGGGGAGGGAATTCTCTTCCCATGACACCATTTCCATGGCAACGGACCAACGGCAGCGTCACAGCCTACGAACGAACGGTAGGCAGTGGCTGCAACCCGAGCTAGCCAAGGCCAGGAGGGCAGGCCATCAGCTAGCCGGCCGGACACACAAGTGTGTGCTCTTCACGCACACTCCCCCCGCACGATCGCGGGGGGGGGGGGGAGGTGGAACAATGGAAACCTCCTTCATAGAAGAAGTGGCTGCCTCGTTGGTTAGAGAGTTCCTCAGCAGGAAGGTAAGAAGCGACCGCCGTGATCCCTCTGTGTGCGCCGTGAGACCTGAAAGGGCTGCACTTTCCCCAAAAGCCTAAAAACCAGTCCCACCCTCTGCTTTTTCCCAGAGCTAGAAGCAGAGATCTCGGCAACCAACTCTAGGACTCCATTTCCCACAATGCATTTCTGCGGGGTTGAATACGGAAGCCGATTCCCATCTGCACCCCGCAAGAGACCTGGCTTGAGGATCATCATAAAGCTCGGGTCCTTTTAGGAGAGCCCTGTGGACTTTAACCCTTAGTGCTATTTCTAAGGATGAAAAATACGGCATGTTAGGGTTGGATTCAGTTGTGTCTCCCTTTAGTATCATCATACAAATATTAAAATAGGATCAAAGCATGTTATAGGCGAAAGTACTGGGGTGGAGAGCCAACGAAGAAAATTCCAGACTCTTCCATCTGTCCTTAACAGCTATAAGCACTACCCACCAGTTCCAAAAACCCTCTACTGCAATTTTAGAAGCAATAGGGGTGTTAAAGGTGGAAAAAGCTGTTTTACACCCAAGGAAGCCTTCTCAAACAATTGGGGCCAGAATGGCTTTCTGAATATCAAGTTTAGAAACTTAGCATAACTTTAACTAAGCTTTTACACCTTCCCTGGTCCCAAACTGTAAATGCTGCTTTATTTGCCATGTTCCATTATCCTCCATGCTTTTAGGACATCTCTGGAGTGGGGACAGATGAGGGCCAAGAAGGGGAACCCTGAACAAGGTGATTAAGTTAGACTCCCTGACTCAAGAGAGCATCCTCATGCAGATGAATTGTGGATCTAGCCATTTTCTGACCCCCTCCCACACCCCAATTCAGGGTTTTTCCTCTAGCAGTAACCCTTCCCCCAAAGTCCCATTAAATTCATTTATTTAGGCCTCCCTAAGCAGCTTTGCCGCTCGTCTTTTGCCAAGGGCCATACTCCTCTTTCAACAGCACCATCTGGACGGGTTATTTGCTCATGTATTCACTCTTCTAGACTGCTTTTTGGGGCCCCTCCCAAGCCCTGGACAAGGGGACCAGGGCCCCCGCAGGTGCCACCCTTAGGTGGTCCAGGGACTCACCCAATTCCAGCTCTGTAGAGAAGCTCTCCTGGGGCAGTGCACTTTACAGTGTGCCCTTTAAAAAAAGGCAAGTTTTGAGAACTCAAGTCCAGAAGTTTGCGGACATTTTCAAACCACACAGACTTGCATTCGTGATTATAAACGTTGGAATGCAAACAGCCACTTCCGCACAGGCACAGGTGTTACGCCAGGTGATCTTGGGGAGCAATCCACCCCAAGAGAAGGGGAGGGGCATGCACTCCAGGCTGTCTTGAAAGGTTTGGAAAATGTACCCACAGAGACAAACCCTGGTTTTGCATTCACACAAATACACCCCATACTTAGAAAATGAGTTTATTTGTCTGAAAAATATAGAGTAGGCAAAGCTTACACTTCCTGCCTTCCAGTCTACAAGTATTCCCAATATATCTCCATCTTACTAAGAAAAGGGCTTCCTATCTAACATGAGAAACTAAGGGGGGGGGCAGTTTTCACCTATGCTGCAGCAGTAGAGCTTTATGTCCCACATTCTTGCAGGAGGCAGAGGCAAGAGAATCCCTCCTAGCCCCCCCCCCCCATACCATTTCTCTCTGCACAAGCTTGTGCTGATTGTTGGAAGGGGGCTTGATGGCTTCTGGGGGGCCTCAAGTGTTTTCTGAGTAAGAGGACAGTTCCTTGCCTGTGCTGGCCAGGTGCGACAGGTGAGAGAATTGCCAGGGGTTGAACCCTAACTTGAAGCTTGCAATACTCCCAGAAATTTTACCCCTTATGGGAACTCTCATCTGAAAGCTTTTTGGCACCACCAATCCTACCCATTAAAAATGCAAACTGCACCTTATAAGGGAAAGGCCAACAACTTCACCGGAAAAGCTGAAACTCAAAGCCATGTTGCTCAGAATTAAGACTTGGTTACCTTCTTTTATTTCTGCATTGCTTTTCCAAAACCAACTTACGACTGTGCTCAGAAACATCCAGAGCGTAAGAATCAAGAACTTAAAAGCTTTGTTGTTAGCAGTTGTCCTCATTTCTCCACACAGGGTTTGAAAAAAACGAGCACTGCGATGGAGGAGGAGTTCCCACGTACAGCCCTGAGCATCAACAACAGGAACGAGCTTCGTAACGTTTTACACTTGCAAGCCTTGTACAAAGAGAACAAGGTAAGGTCACTTCTGATACCTCTACCCTGATTTTAAAAAGCAAAGTGGACAAGTCAGTGGGATGAACGCTTTGCGTCACTACTTTGGAGATAATTTATTGCAAATTTGGGGCGCACTCTCCTGGTGAAAACTAGCACTAGAAACTTAGTTGACCTTACAAAGCCTGAGTCAATTCATGCAATGTAATATGGTATGATAATACAGCAGCTGCTGGTGATATTGGGCAATTAAAGGGAAAGAATCTAGAAAACCATTCTATGAAATATCCTTTTCACATTCAAGATAGCATTTGCCGAACTATCTGCCATATTTCCTGTTTCGGTTGGACTAGACAGAGTTAACAAGGTTTCACAGACGGTTAAGGCTGATGGAAAGGAGTCTAGAGGCGAGCAGCGCCTTCCTTCAGCTTGATCCACCAGCTGTGTCCTTAGCTGGATGAGAACTGATTGGCAATGGTGACACAAGCTCGGGTAACTTCCCAGTTGGATTATTGTAACATGCTCTACCTGGGGCTGCCTTTGAAAACAGCCTGGATACTCCAATTGGTTCAGAACAGAGCTGCCAGACTGCTGATGGAGTCCAGTCATTATTCCCACATAACACCAGTCCTCTATCAGGTACACTGGTTCCCGATTGAAGACCAGGCCCGATTTAAGGTGCTGGTATTGGGACCTTATGGCTTGGGACCAGGATACCTGAAGGAACATCTCCTTCCCTATATGCCCTCCTGGCCCTTAAGATCAGAAACAGAGGCCCTCCAGGAACTCTCCTTGAAGGAGGTTAGGAGAATAAATACCCGGAGAAGGGCCTTCTCTGCGGTGGCACCCCAACTGTGGAATGCGCTCCCCAAAGAGGTTCACCTGGCTTTTTTTCCCCCTTTGGCATCAGGTAAAAACCTTTTTATTCACCCAGTATTTTAATATTTAAACTAAATTTTTAATGGTCATGCTTAGTCACATTATGCTTGTTGTGTTTATTATTGTAAGCCTTTAAGGATGAGGTAAAAATGCCTCCACATTGCACAGAACCAAGTGTTGATAAGTGAGAAATTTAACAGAAATTTGGGTATAGAATAAAAGAGGACAGATGGTCGGGGAGGGTGGAGTGGGTGTCTGGAGTCCGTATAGGGATGGCTCCTCTTCCCCCCTCTCCCGGAAGCCCGAAGCAGTGGGAAGGAGGAAAAGCTCCAGAAGATGGGCAGGGGGGTTCCTATATATGAATGTGGGGGGGGGGGGGGCGCAATTGTAGTTAAGTTTTTGTTGGAATGTTTATTTATTCACATATTGAAACCAAAAAGAACATTTGATGTATTGAAAATATGGAAAAAAACACTGAAGATAGTGTCATGGAATTTAAATGGCTTAGGAGAAAAACGAGCTAGAATCGGAAAATCTATTCATGATAAAACAGATATATTTTTACATCAAAAGAAAGATGGGGTGAATGAATTAAAATTATATTGGGCAGATGTATATGAAAAGGCATGTGGTACATCAAAAGCAGGGACTGGTAGATGTGATCACGCAACACCAGTTCTCTAGGCTCAAATTTTTTTACATTACGATGGTTGTTTTATTGTGCTTTGTTTTAATGATTGGAAGCCTTTCTGAGATGCCTTGCATAAAGGGACAGCATAGAAAAGTTTTAAATAAAGAAATTTAAGGTGCTAACAATGACGTAAGGCCCTGAACAGTTTAGGGCACCCTGAAAGAGCGTCTTTGTGTCCTTCTGTACACGCCTGCCCAACCTCCAGGATCTTTGTCTGAGGTCCTCCTTTGGGAGCTCTTTCAAGGAGGTAAGGAGTGGGTACCTGCCTTTACTGCAGTGGCACCCCAGCTCTGGCACCTGCTCCTCAGTGAAGTGTGCCTGGCACCGATGCTTTATTCATTTCAGCACCGAGCTAAAACCTTTTTATTCCTCCTATATTTTAAGACTTAATTTTGTTTAATATTTGGGGTTTTTTTGCAGATTTGTGTTCTATTTATGAGTGCTGCTTATTGTATTGCCATCCCGAGACCCTTGGTATTGGATACGTTTTAAATACATGCATAAACTGTTGGAATAGCTTTTTCCACTGTTACCCGCCAAAAGTTGCAGAGGCTGGAGCATAGAACTTTCCAAAGATCAAACAGCAGGTATCGGTGGTTCGTTGTTCTTACATTTTGAAGTCAGGCCTGCAACTCCCCCCCCCCCCCGCATTGCTTGTCATTCCCTGGACTAGCTAGAACTTTCAAGCAATCATTTCTTTTCCACCCATACCATCTGTGCAGATGAAGGACCAAAACACTCCTACATTTTGGCCATGGCTTAAAGCCAACCAACGCAGAAACAAAAATGTTTTTAATATAGAAAACTATTCTCCTGAATCTGCCTTCCTCCAGGTATGCAGGACTTCTATTCCAGCATGGCCACTACTTAAAAACACCGGGAATTGCAGCCTCAAGAATTCAAAGGACACCGGCCATGTCTTTTGAAGTCTCTGGTAGGACTCTTCCAGGTTTCCACTGTTTTTAGCTGAAAGGACCGAAGGCTGGTCTTGGGAGTTGTACTTTACCCTCTGGGCTCCACTACAGAAAGCCTCATTCAGTCCCGACTGTGTGGATGGGAGGAACTGGTTCTGCTCTTCTGGCTGGGTAATTTGCTTTAACTGGAAATTAAAATAATGCTTTTAGCCAAGGTTTTTTGCGAATGGAGCAGCATATAAATGTTCCAAATAAATAATAAATAATAAATCCTCCCAGTTCTCAGGCAGCCTATTCTGCCAGTATTCTTTGCTCATAAATTCTTCCTCCTGCACGACATCATGGCCCTTTACTATTCTTTCCAGCCATCAGTCTATCTTCTCTTTCCACATCCTAAAGCTTAAGCTTTTCTTTAGAAGATTCATTCTATTTAAAATACCATTTCCCTCAGAGATACAGGAATTTAAGGCTAGAGGTGGGAAAATTAGAATTCCTTCCCCTCGATTCAATACTAAAACAGGCGGTTTCAAATCTAGAAAAATCTGAGAAAAGGTTCACGTGAAAAGGGTGGGCAATCTTGTTTTCAAATGCTTATGTCAAATCTTTAAGCATTAGTGGCAGTGGGTCACATCCTTTTTTTAAACTCAAAAGAGGCAGGCCTGGTTGAATGATTTTTCATCTTTGGGGGATGATTTTCCCCAAGGGGTGCCCATGATGAACGTAACTTTTGAGTCTAAGCACCGCTGAATACAATGGGGCTTACTTCTGAGTAAACATGTGTAGTTTTGCACCACTGGTCTCAGATTTTTACCGTTTTCCTTTTGTGAATGGAAATACTATTTCCAAAATAAAGCTATGTTTAATTGGCTGATTGGAGAAAACTTGCCAGTTCATACAGTACCTAAGTTGAATAAAGTAAATTGGTCCAGAATAGAGCTGCCAGGTGACTAAAGGGGGCCAGCAGATACCCTCGTATCACACTGGTCCTCTACCGTCTACACTGGCTGCCAATTGAAGTCCGGGGCCAATTTAAGGTTCTGGTAATAACCTATAAAGCCCTAAACTGCTTGGGTGCTGGATACCTGAAGGAGTGCCTTCTTGCCTATGTGCCTGCCCACCCCTTAAAGATCTGAGGCAGAGGCCCTTCTCCGGGAGCCCCCTTTTAAGGAAATTGTTTGGTATTTGTCAACATGTTTCATTTGACCTGGCAAAGGAGGTATAGAAAAGAGCTCTGTGAGCAACAGCTTTGGCTAAAGACTGTAATGGAAATGCTTCACCTTTCCTTAAATATTTCTGTTGCCGAAGTAGCTGCAAGATCACATGGTCCTCCTGGAAAGCAAGAATTCCACAGCTCAGCCTGTGACTTACTAAATCTGCTTTGAAGAGATCCACAATCTTATTTAGAAGGCAAGGTGGACAGGCATAACATCTTCCTTGTATTTGTAAACACAAATTACTGGAGTACCCAAACGGCCAACCAACTGCCTTTATGGAGCCAGGTGCGTGTAAACTTGGACCTACTTAAAGACGATCAAGTCCACAAAACCCAACGTGCAAGGAAGAATCAAAAGGAAAGGGAAGAATCAAAAGGAAAGGGAAGAATATTTGGAAGACCTTAGTGACTGACTAGGGAGCGTCAGGACCGAATACAGCAGAAATCCCCTATCGGCAGAGGTAGGTCCCAAGCCCCCAGTGGACACTGAAGCCACAGACAGCAGCAAACAACACTGTACCCGAATGCAAGAGAATGATGTGAATTATCTCCTTGAAAGAGCTCCCAGAGGAGAACCTCAGACAAAGATCTTGGAGGTTGGACAGGCGTGTACAGAAGGACACAAAGACGCTCTTTGGTCTAAGAATCAATATTGCATGTTTGCACTGCAGCATTTTTCTTCTGTTATAATTTTGCACTTACTAATTTTATTATGTATATTGTCACCATTGTATTCTGTAAACCACACAGGGAGCCATTTTGGCTAATGAGGCAGGGTAGACAACTGATAAGCCAATCAAAATAAGCCTAAAGGAACTTATTCCTGAAGGGCCTTTTTCCCCTGTATGCCCTAAGATCGGCAGCAGAGGCCCTCCTCCGGGAACCCTCTTTGAAAGAGGTCAGGAGACAGAGCACTCAGAGGAGGGCCTTCTCTGCGGTGGCGCCCCGACTATGGAATGCACTCCCCAGAGAGGTCCGCCTGGCGCCGTCATTTTATGCTTTTCGGCACCAGGTCAAGACCTTTTTATTTGGCCAATATTTTAACTTCAATCAGTTTTAAGTGTATTGTTTAACTTATTTTAAATATGCCAGTTTTATGCTGTTTGTGGAATAGCTCATTTATTTTGATTAGGATTTAGAATATTCTGTAAGCCATCCAGAGACAACAGTGATGGACAGCCTATAAATTTCCTGAATAAATAAAATAAAAATAGCCCAAGCAAGGACAATGATCAAAAAGGTATCCCCTGGGCTCCAACAAAATGCTTGAGGATCACAGACTTATTTATTTGGAATACTTACATGCCACCCCAGTCGCAAAAGCC